AAAAAAAAAAGAAAATATTGATGATATGACTTTTTATGTTATCAGTTCAAGCGTGACAAAGTAATGCCAAGCATGTTGGATTTATATGAGGAAACCCATTCAAAAAGTGATAAAGAACCTATCACTGAAGTGTCAAATGAAACCATGGTAAGAAATTACGTAGTACATTATAAAATAAGGGGAAAAGGAAGAATATTAGAGAGAGCTGTAGATGGAAATTGTATTGTCTATATGCATCCATTTCATGAGTAACCTATATATATACATGATAGAACATTGTAACCTATATGGACAATGAAGAGTCCATTCATGCGAGGGTTAATGTGAACTAATGACAAAGGAGGATTACAAGGATGCTATTACAACCACACTTAAGATAGTCATAAAAGGGATAGCTATAACCTATAATGACCATCCATTAACACATTTTATAACACTGCCCCTTGGATGGGCATTATCTAAAATAAATTTAATGCGCATATATGCTTCCTCATTAAAAACTTTTCCAGAAAAAACCCAGTGGGAATAAACCATGGATAAGGGAAAAAGAGTGCAGCGCGCAATTACTCCCCCTCATTATTATATCACTAAATATCTTTGAGACGACGGAATCCAATACGATAAACTAACTTTTTAAATGTTGCTGTCGGAAGAGCCTTAGTGAATAAGTGTGCTAAATTTTCACTTGAACGAATCTGCAATACTTTTATATCTCCATTCTTCTGAAGATCATGAGTGAAGAAAATTTTGGTTAAGATGTGCTTTGTTTGTCACCTTTGATATATCCTTCCTTAAGTTGAGCAATACAAGCTGCATTATCCTCATATAGAGTTGTCGGTGCCTCTTTCCCAGATGATAAACCACAAACTTCTTTTATGTGTTGAATTACCGACCTTAACCATACACATTCACGACTAGCCTCGTGAATCGCTAAAATCTCAGAATGATTGGAAAAAGTAGCTGCAATGGTTTATTTCATGGAACACCAAGAAATGGCAGTACCACCATACGTGAACACATATCCAGTTTGTGATCGACCATTATGAGGATCAGATAAATAACCTGCATCTGCAAAACCAATCAAATTTTCTTTTGACAACTTTGGGAAAAATAAACCCATACCCTTCGTACCTTGAAGATAACAAAGTAAATGTTTGATCCCATTCCAATGCCTCCGAGTTGGACATGAACTAAACCTTGCTAATAAATTCACTGAAAATGATATGTCGGGTCGTGTATGACTTGCAAGATACATTAGTTCTCCAATTGCACTAATATATGGTACTTCAGGACCAAGAATTTCTTCATCATTTTCCCGAGGTCGGAATGGATCTTTCTCTACTTCAAGTGATCTTACAACCATAGGGTTGCTCAATTGATGTGCTGTATCCATAGAAAAACTTTTAAGAACCTTTTCTATGTATGTTGATTGATGCACAAGGATTTCATTCTCTAGGTGCTCTATTTGTAACCCCAAGCAAAATTCTGTCTTTCCAAGATCTTTCATTTCAAAATTTTTCTTTAAATAATTGACAGTCACTGAAATCTCTTCAGGAGTTCCAATGATATTCAAATCATCAACATACACCGCAATTATAACAAATCCTGATCCAAATTTCTTTATAAAAATACATGGGCTAATAGGATCATTCGTATAACCTTCCTTCAACAAATACTCACTTAGACGGTTATACCACATACGCCCAGATTGTTTCATTCCATAAAGAGATTTGTTCAATTTAATACAAAAATGTTCTCGAGAACTAGATTTTGCTGCTTCTGGCAGCTTGATCCTTCTGGGAGCTTCATGTAAATGTCATTATCCCACTACAAGAAAAATGTCTTTTCGTAGCGATTGTACATTCGCTACAATATGCAAGTCTGTTTGTGAAATAATTAAGGAAGTCGTATCATTTTACAATCGCCATGGTTTTCCCATATAAAATCGATACGGAAATCATAATAATACATATCCACACTATTTTTACACATTTATGTAATTTTGAGAAATCTTATCATTTACAATCGCCACTAAATCCTAAAAATCGATACGAAAAGCCTTTTCAACACTAGATATATAAATATTGTTTGACAAAGAATACATAAAATATGACATAGCTTATTGGTGAAACATTTAATATAAGAGTTTGATGTTGCATGTTCGAATCTTGTAAAGATCATACGCATGTTTTTTTTTTTGAAGAAAATGAGTTAAAAATTTATAGCGATTGTTAACGCTACAATAATCACCACGATAGATGTAGTTTTTTGTATCGATTACTAAGGCCAACCCCAACGATATTGAAAACCACTACTAATGTCTAAGGCAACGGGGGATATTGTATCGAATGACCATTCATTGGGAAAGCTTTTTGTTAAAATTACAATCGATACTAAAGATTAAAATAATCGCTACGAAAAGGTTATTTTCTTGTAGTGTCCAGTGGGCCATATATGTAAGCTGTGACTACATCCATCAAACGTAAGTCAAGTCCTTCTCTTATTGCCAGACTAATCAAAAATCTAAAAGTAGTTGCATCCACCATAGGAGAATATGTCTCCTCGTAATCAATACCAGGTCTTTGTGAGAATCCTTGTGCAACTAAACGTGCCTTATATCTTACAACTTCACCCTTTTCATTTCTCTTTCGCACGAAGACCCATTTATATCCCACTCGCTTTACACCTTCAGGTGTACAGACTACAGGTCCGAATACTTCTCTTTTTCCAAGAGATTTTATTTCTGATTCAATTGCTTCTTTCCATTTTGGCCAATCGTTTCTTTGTCTACATTCTTCAATGGATTTTGGTTCATGATCCTCATTATAATCCATAACATCTAATGCTATATTGCATGCAAAAACATCATCGACGTCGATTTGATTTCGGTTCCATGTAATTTCAGACATGATATAATTTGTTGAAATTTCTTCATTATCAGGTACCTGTATTTCTTCCTGTATCATGTCTAAATTCTCTTCTGGAGATCGTTCGGAATTTGTTTATTCAATTTGACCATCATCAATCAATGCTCCTTTTCTTTTCCGAGGATTCTTATCTTTGGAACCTATTGGTCTTCCACGTTTCTAACGTGGTTTTGTCCTTCCGGGCCATCTATTTTAAATGGAGCATTTACAGCTAGAATATGTGACTTGGTCACTATTTTTGGGTCAGCAAACGAGTCTGGCAATTGATTTGCTAAACTTTGTAAATGAATTATCTTTTTAACTTCCAGTTCACATTGTTTAGTTCGAGGATCAAGATAAGATAATGATAATTCATTCCATTTAATTTCTTTTTCCAGCTCTCTCTTTTCTTCCCCTAATGTTGGGAAAAGTGACTCGTTAAAATGACAATCTGCAAAACGAGCCGTAAATAAATCCCCTGTTGTAGGCTCAAGATATTTAGTTATTGAAGGGGATTCAAACCCAACATATATTCCCAAACTCCTTTGAGGACCCATCTTAGAGCGTTGCGGTGGAGCTATCGGAACATAAACCCCACATCCAAAAATTCTTAGATGGGAAATATTTGGTTCCTGACCATAAACTAATTGTAATGGGGGGAACTTATGATAATTTGTTAGTCTAATGCGAATTAGTGCTGCTCCATGTAATATAGCATGTCCCCAATCAGAAATTGGGAGATTAGATTTCATAAGCAATGGTCTAGCAATTAACTGAAGACGTTTAATGACTCAGCCAAACCATTTTGTGTATGAACATGTGCTACATGATGTTCAACATTTATCCCAATGGACATGCAATAATCATTAAAAGCTTGAGATGTAAATTCACCAGCATTATCAAGCCGGATAGTCTTAATAGGAGTATTTGGAAAATGTGCCCGTAACTTAATCAATTGGGCAAGTAATCTCGCAAACGCCAAGTTACGAGTTGATAACAAGGACACATGTTACCATCTAGTTGATGCATCAATTAAAACCATAAAATATCTAAATAGTCCACACGGGGGATGTATGGGCCCAGAGTAATCTCCTTGTATACGTTCCAGAAAACTAATTGATTCAAAATTGATTTTAGCTGGTGATGGGCGAATTATTAACTTGCCTTCTGAGCAAGCAGCACATGAAAAATTATTATAAAGAATCTGCTGGCTCTTCAAAGAATGTCCATATGAATTCGTAATTATTTTTCGCATCATTATTGAACCGGGATGGCCTAACCGGTCATGCCAAACAACAAAATTATCAGTAAACTTCTGGTTTACTATAGGCTGAGTTTCAATAGTATTGATTTTTGTGTAGTACAAACCACTGGAGAATGTAGGGAGTTTCTCCAAAACATGTTTTGTGCCTTGTGTTATATTTGTGATTTGAAGGAATTCGTTATTTTCTTCATTGATTGTCTTAATATTTTAATATTGCGAATATCCTCAAAACTTAATAAATTTCTTTGAGACAATGGGGAGTATAAAGCATCAATTATTTTAATTTCAGTTCCCCAAGACAATTTTATAGTGGCTCTTCCGGAGCCCTCAATAATATTTGTACTACCCAATATGGTACTCACATTAATACTTTTCATCATTAATGTAGAGAAGTATTTTTTATTTCTAAGTATTGTATGAGTAGTTGCACTATCAGCAAGACACAATTCTTTACCATTCATAGGAAACTGAACTTGAGTAATATCCATGTTCTTCATGAAATAAAATATATGTCAAAATATTAAGCATAAAAATAAAGATGATAAAATAAATAATTCAATAAAAACACCTAAATAGTTCATAAATTCATAGCATATAAAGTCCTTATTACAACCATAAAAAATAACATAAGTAAATAACTATATCAAGTCTAATACTTAAAGTTGACATAAAATAATATAAATTTAATTATTCCCTTCTGAAGCATTGAAGAAATCACCAACTTCTAAATGAGTTGTACTGCCAAAATCAAAATTATTCCTTTCCGGGGAAGTAAGGAAATTAGCAACATCAAAATGATTTGCATTGCCAAAATCAAAATCACCTTAAACTTATTCAACAACAAGGTTTTCCTCAACTTTCTTTCCTTTCTTCAATGATTCTTGATAAAGTTCAACAAGATGCTTTGGAGTTCTACAAACCCGAGACCAATGACCTTTTCCTCCACAACTGTAACATATATTGGTCTCATTTTTCTCTTTATCATCCCTATGTTCCCACTTCTGGTGGGAATGAGAATTTGTGTAATGACCTCCACGACCTTTACCATATCCACTAAAACCACGATCGCGACCACGCCATTGGCCACGACCGTGACCACGACCTCTACCTCGACCACTACTACTGGAATGGTATTTGTTTTTAGTTTCTTTCCCGTTATGGGTTGTCACATTCTCTTCAGGGAATGGAGTAGAGCCAGTAGACGTGATTCATGATTTTTCATTAACAGCTCATTATTTTGCTCAGCCACAAGAAGACAAGATATTAATTCAGAATATTTTGTAAAACCTTTTTCTCTATATTGTGTCTGTAGGACAATATTATTTGCATGGAAAGTAGAGTATGTCTTTTCAAGCATTTCTGCATCAGTAATATTTTCTCCACATAATTTCAAGTGAGAAGTTATTTTAAACATAGCTGAGTTATATTCACTAACAGATTTAAAATCTTGCAATATTAAATTCAACCAATCATAACGAGCTCTAGGTAGTATCACTGTTTTTTGGTGGTCATACCTTTCCTTTAGATTACTCCAAAGGACTTGTGGATCTTTCACAGTTAAATATTTATTTTTGAGTCCTTCATGGAGGTGATATCGAAGAAATATCATGGCCTTTTCCTTATCTTGGATTGTTGCTTTATTACCCTCCTTAATGGTTTCACCAAGGCCTTTAGCATCTAGTTGTATTTCAGCAATAACACTCATGATAGATAATTCTTTCCGGTAATATCAAGGGCCACAAATTCAAGCTTGGTAAGATTCGACATTTTCACTATACAATTATTAATAATATCATTGTTGTTTGATTCAATGAAATCAACTTGCTTTATAATGTTATACTGACATGGTTAATTCTTTAAAATGATTATTTCTATTAATTTACAAAAATTATATCATAAAATGTAATATCGTTGTAATATATATTTCGGTAAATTTAGAATCAATACATCAGAGGCATATATCATGCATTTTACCTCTAAGAACCTTTCATGTCAAATTTCTAATTTGCATCTAAATATCATTAGTATTAATATATAATATTGCATCTAATTATATTTTGAGACAAAATTACATGATTGCCTCTAAATGTATACGATATATAAAAGCAAACAGGTATAATGCCTCTAATTATATTTTGAGGCAAAATAATATGGATGCCCCTAAAAATATATGGTATTTAGAAGCAATTTTACATAATGCCTCGAAATATATTTAGGGTCAAGATTATACGGTTGCCACTAATTATATTTAGGGGCAAGGTTATACGGTTGCCTCTAAATATATGGGTTTTTATAAACAATGCATTGTATTGCCTCTAAAAGAGGCATTAAGAGCAACCATCAATTAGTGATGAAATTTTTAGAGGCACTTGATTGATTATCTCTAAAAGGTATTAGAGGCAATATCATTATTATTAGAGGCATTTTTCACTTGCTTGTATAAGTAATTTTTTTTGTAGTGTGATGAACATCCTATACAGGTTGCCCACAGTATCGTGCCCAAGACGTGGCAATGCGTCCTACCAGCAGTAATCCCACGATGTACCCTCTCATAAATGTGGTTGCCGGGGGAGAAGAACAAAGTCTGCTCATCCCACTCAGGAAGGGGACCGAGAGAAGTGGACGGGTCGACGTCCTCCTCTACAAGCTCATGCTCCCGTTGTGTGCCTCGGGATCGTGAATCCAAACCTCGCTGTCTAGCCATACTACATTGCGCAAAATCGACATAAATTAAGTTTCTATGGTATCTAAGGTTCGCCTAGCCACATGATACTATGTTCGCAAAAAACAGAGTACGTAGTACTAAAACAGAGCACAATTTTAATGTGAACATATACAACATTTTTCAAGCATCCAAACAACTTCTTGCAATACTATGGTAATTATTGTGACAAATTGGACAAGAATCGCTAGCAAAAACATCAAGAACAAGCCACATTGTCTTCTCGACCTTAAGAGGCCCAACAATGGTAATTTGTTCATTTCTCCACCACATAGAGTTAAACAAGTCTCAAAATACTCCCAAGGCAATATATAAACATTGAATTAATTTTGTAGCATAAAATTTGACAAACAAAGCGAATTAAGCAATTGAAAGTTCGAGTTTTTCAAAAATTCATGAAGAATAATGTCAAATTCATTAAAAACCGGGCTGAGTTTGAAGAAAAATTAATAGATCGGGAAAGTAGAAGGAAAAAGCTTCGATATGCAACAAATTTGAGCAAATTTGGTTGAGTAACGAGCAAGAAATACCAAGGTGAACTTCCACGGTGATTTTCGAAGAAGAAGCAGCAGCGGAAAAATTAGAAAGAAAGGGAATATATACGGAATTCCCAACTCTGGCGCCAAACGACATCTTTGGCGTCTGACGCCAGAGTTCAGCACCTGGAGCTAGAACCAGCGTCTGGCGCCAAAGCCAAAACGTGGCGTCAGCAACGTTTCGGCGGCGACAGAACGCTCAGCTACTCAGAACGGTTTTTTTTTTTACCTCTTACAGCAATTTTGGGTTCCTTGGTACGCTAGTTAGCCCCTCTAAGAAATTTGACATGATTAAGTAATCGCCTCGATTATAATCGCATTAAGTTATCGACCTGATGAATGATCATCTCACTTAGCTTAAAGCGCCTAAGCATTGGCTCATTAGAGGCACCGACATAATGGTTCATAACCAGCGGAGGCACCTACATAATGGTTCATAAACAGCGGAGGCACCGACATAATGGTTCATAAACAGCAGAAGCACTGACGTAATGGTTCACAAGCAGCAAAAGCGCCGACGTACAAACATAGCGGAAGCAAAGTTCAAGCGAGCTTTTAAAGATCGACAAGTATTGGTCTTCGGTAATTTTCTTCGGAATATTATCGCAACAAATGACAATGACTTCAAGCGAAGATATCTTCGATAGCGTTCCCTAGTTTGCGGAAGGTTGTTAAAAGCAGGAGGTGATTTCAAGAAAAGTTATCTTCGATCGTGTTCCCTGGCTTGCGGAAGATGATCACAAAGCGCAAGAAGGTCATTTCAAGCAAAGCAATCTTCAATGGGGTTCTCTAGCTTGTAGAAGTCTATCACGACAAAATTGGAGGTAGTTGCAGGTGTAGCATTCTTTAGGAGGTATTCTCTAGCTTGCAGAAGATCGTCAAAACAAATAGGAGGATGGCATTCCCTAGCTTGTGGAAGGCTGTCACAATGGCAAATGCAACAACATCAAATTTGTTACCTTTAGAGACGTGTGCTCGACGGTGGAAGATACGAGTTTCTTAACTCTCTTATCTGTTTAACTAACGCTAGTTTGCAGGTATAGGCGTTACAAGAATAGTTTAGGATCGTAGAACGTTTTGAATCATTCTCTGTCCCTATCGATACTTTGACTTTTGTTTTCAAAACTTGCATTTCTCCAAACTCAGTCAAAGTGGGGGCTTCTGTAGACACCCATTTATGTCTCCCCAAAACAAAACCCAGTGATGAGTACCTTTCACGTCGAATGATAGTCAAATGAGGTGAAAGTGTGGAAAGTCTAGTGTTGCGGTCAATTTTTATTTCTTTTCTTTCTCTCTGTTTTTGAAAATCTATTTTAAGAAAACAGCCAATCCATTTTAGTTTGGTCCATGGAAAGGGTCCAATAATAGTGTAGTTTGGTCGCGTTCAAAAAGAGCTTTCCAATAATATATTATAAGCCCAATTCCGATGAATAATGAGTAAGTTATGGCCAAATTACTAAAATGGGCGCTGTTTGGTATTTATGTGCGGCCCAATGATCTAGAGGAGGGCCTAATATTGATCTATCATTCCTAATGCAATTAGGATTGATTATAGTCTTCTAGATTCTTCTAGAAGGTTCTTTTCATTCCTAATTTAATTAGCATTAATAAATTGACTTTAGTTGACTTTTTAGAGTTTTAATTAGAATAAAGGAAGTGTTTTTAAGGAAAATACGATTTTTCCCTCTCGTTCGGCTAAATTTTATCAAATTAAGAAAACTCGTGGAAATTTGTTTCCAGCGTCTAGCGTCTGGCGCTAGAGTCCAGCGTTTGGCGCCACGTTGTTTTATTCTTTTCGAAACTCTGATTCGTTTTTTTATCATATCTGGCTGATTTTCTCAATAAATAGCTTCCTAAAACCTCCGTTTTTAATCATCAAAAATCACCAACTCTCATCAAGAATCTCTTGATTTCTCTTTCTCTCTTTTCTAAACTAGCCTTTTGCATACAAAGTTCTGCATTCACAAGATTTAGAAACACCTAGCCAAGTTCGAAGTTGCCTTCGCCCTAGACGTGAAAGGTTTTAATTACTGAGGGTTTGGTCCCAAATCTCTATTTCAATTATTTAATTTAATTGTTTGTTTATTATTTTCCTTGAAGTTACTAACGCGTGTATTTTGTTATTAGAAAGAGATAAGAGGCATCCAAGTAAGTTCTTTAATTGATTTTTTGATATTATGATATAGAAATCATGTCTAGGTTGTTATTATGATTCCTAGTGTCATATTAGGGTGTTTTTTATTCCTAGTATTATGTTTAGGGAGAAGGTTATAATGTCAAATATGCTTATTATGATTCCCGCGATGCTTCCTATTTTCTTTCCTAATATTCATGTTGGTATCATGTTAGGGTTAAAGCTTTGATCTTTATTGCTTAGCGACATGCTAGGGTTTGTTATTAATCTTGTTAGTATCATGCCTAGGATCTTGCTATTATTATGCTTTAACATGATTACGATTATGATTATGATTGTTATGAGTATTATCATTTATGATTATTATTATGTTGCTTTATATTTGGTGTTATTGCTTGATCACACCTTTTATGCATGTTTAAAGGGATTTGGTACTTGTAATGATTCTTAATAAGATAATTAATAATCTTGTTTAGGGTTAATTATATTATAATTCAAGTGATCGCCAATAATAGTCTGATTTGTGCATTAATATTTCAACCAGCATAGATAAACAGGTTTAGGGTTAATCCTATTGATTGCATACATGTTAGTCAGAAAGCACACATGAATACGATCTGAATAAAGTAGAGGCCTATTATCAGGGCATGTTCAATCTCTTTTAGGTTGGATTTGTACCTTCATCCCTGAACTACAAGTGATGGTTACAGAGCTATTGGAGTTGACGATCTCCTGGATCGTTAAGGGGTGTAACCTTCACCCTGTGAACGGTTTACAAGTTCCTAAAACTTGTTGGCGACTCTTTTGCTCTAGCTTCCTTCCCTTTGGGCGCCACTATACTTAAGTGTATGATCACAGTGGGGTTCAAGTTTGGGGTAATGTTTGAAATATTCCCAACACCTGGCCTCCCTAAGTTAGATACTTTCGGACTTGGTTTCGAACCGACTCGGGAAGATCTTAAGCGAGCCAAGGAAAGGTCTAAGGTGCGTAGGAACGCTCGCACCCAAAAGAAAGCAATCCCAATGGACCAATACCCTCTTACTCTCAATGGAAAATTCATAAGGGAAGGAGAGGATTATCCAATTTCACGAACCGTTTGTTGTAAATGGAATAAGACAACCGGGGTTCGAAATCTTTCTGGATTGTTACTTTCTAGATGAGATCCTAACTCCTATTCACAAGGAGAAAGCACCCCCATGCTTTAACTTTAATGTCATGGGACTCCTCTTTGGGCGAGAAAATGATGAGCCGAAATATGTAGAGGATAATTCCTCGCTCATCGAAACGGTTCTACAAAGCAAGAACTTTAACCC